AGCTATCACGTCATCAGTAAAACAAAAGGCAAAAATAAGAAAATCTATTGCGGCCGTAGCTACGCACATTAATCATGGGCGTAGATACGAATCCCGAAACATGCCCAACCGAACTAGAAGTGTAAAGAATAGAGTGATTGGCCGATAACACGAAGACCCAGTTTTACGCCGTCTTTGGTTGAATGTACATAGAAGAAAATTTGCTAAAAAGTTCAAAGAAATTGTACAGCAGATATGAGTTGCAGACTCTATTTAATGAGCGGAAAACCATTTCGGTCGACTGTGGTGTAATCACAGTCCGGTAATTCTTCATATCTTCAGAGATGTTGTATTGAATTAAGCAGTCCCCATCTTGCTATACTGGCTTTAGCACTAACCGTTGGTCCGTTCTTTATCAGAAAGAATATTTAATTGCACGGTCTTGATATATGCGTATGTTGCTGCGCATTAAGTGGTCCATCATTGTGGATCGCGTTTAGCAACTAAAGTTTATTAATATTCCAAGTCACGTAAGGCAATATTCTCCAATTTGGCCTGTATGTACATATTACCTCATACGTTACATAACTGTATTATTAACGAAACATGTTGATTTTTCTTTGGCAGTAGTATAAAAAAAAAATTGCTTATCTGTATGATATGGCAAACCATATATACTGTCAATAATCTTATCTTTTTCTATTGCATGGCTAGTATCGGTAGAAAAAAATACTCGATCAAACAAACAGTACTTTCGGAAACCAGCGAGAAAATGGCAGATTTATCATTTCGCTACAAGAAAAAAACTCGTGAAATTGAATTGATGTAAATCTAAATGCTATAATATGTCAAATGCCACCAGAAACCCATCTGATACGGACCACAAGCTAACAACTAACATACTGTCCTTTAGCAAACACCTTTTATCCTTCGATTACTTTTCTTCGTCTAAGTAAAAAAAAAAAACATAGACGGAGTGTTCTAATTCCTGCTAGAAAATTATCGACGGTGAAGGTAATCTGCGTTTAGAATCTAAAATTTCGTTCTAAATAATTTAATCAAATAAGTACAATGGACTTTACACGATAATTACACACCTAGTTTTAGTGCACCTTTAAATATATCCAGAATAATAATATACAATTTAGCCCATAACATTCTGTATATCGTTGTGTATTGTTGGAGTTATACCTTGTTGTCTAGATTTTAATTTAGACAGCCAGTCTAACATAATTCATAATGCGATTTATTTATTTATTCACTAGTTTGCAATTTGTTAATAGTTCGTCAAAAAATTAAGCATCGTGACCTAACTTACCGAAATACAGAACTTCTATTGGACGATTATTGGTACTTTTTTGCCTACATTCGTTTAAGCCAAAAACCATAGTTTTCTAATGATCGATGTAGGTAGCAAGCCGTAAACCGAGTTCAAGGTCGAAACTATGATTTACAAAAGCATTAGGTTCAACAAAAAAGCTTGATTGCTGCCTCATAGAGTTAATCTAAAGATAATGATTAATAAGATTTTATTCCTCAAGTGCTTAAGCTCTTGTTTCATTCTCGGCCGAAAGAGGATTTTACCTCACTTACCTTCAGATAAGTATAAGCCATCTCGGATTTCACTCACCCCTCTAAGTCTTTGCTTAAGATGCGACAGATAGAGATTATAATAAAGAGAAAAAGTCGTTAAAAGTAGAAATAACTTTATTTCACTAGCATTCAGGATTCTGGTTGAACTCCTGCATAATCCTTGGATCAGGCGGTATGTTTATCTACTAGCCGCCGTTCGGGGTTGTGTGCGTTTTATACAAGTACAAAAGCGTTAAAAGGAAATCTGGTATTCAATCAATTTTTGAACTTATTAAACAGCCTGTTAATCCATCTTTAAACGTGTTAAGGTAGTTTTAACCTTTGAATATTGTTATTAATACATTAACACAGATTCGTATGATAGATGCGTCTGTTCTGCACTTGAGTTTTTCAAAAAAAAAAGTTGATTGCTACTATTCTATTTTTTTCGTGAACATCAGAATGAAGCCACAAAGGTGGTAAGTTGCTACTTGAGACCTAGCGGATCTGTTAGTAGTCCTTCACGCTAGTTAAAGACATAGTGGACCCAAAGTGATTCAAAATGTTTTATAAATAAACGCTTCCCTCCCCCTCAACGAACCAAGAACTGCACCAGATATAGTATAGCAATATAGTTTCTATTTCGTACTATTGTACTGAGAATGGATAGTCTCATTAGTATCTGTGCACTTTAGCTTCGCCGGTGACGCTACTCCTGCCATAAGAATAGCTGCTCATGCTACAGTTTTCTATAAAGGATATCACCTCCTGGCCGACGGTGCGTGGCCGCTCTTCCATTTCGGGCTGCTCCTTCTTCGATGTCCCGACATTTACTGCTATCAAGGACACTGGGGCAACAAAAAGGGGAATCAATACACGAGTTTTAAAATAGAGCCTATAATAATATCACCATACCTAGAACAAAAAAGGGAATTGTGCATAGTGAAAGAGAAGTTAGGTATTGCCCTCGTGCCGAACGCAAGGCTCAAATAGAAACAACAGAACAGGCACTCTCCATAGTACACTGACAGAGAGACATACAATAGACTTTCACCAGCGTTTTAGCGTAGTCAAAAAGACAGCATCTCGTTTCAGTAAACAGAGATCGAATATATACACCATATCCATTGATTGCTAAGGATCGAACCGTTGCTCACGTACCATCGAAGCCAGTAGACTATTTAAAGCCGTAGGATTACAGACAATATAAGCCGAGTTCTGTCCTCTGCTCCTTTCTTCCTCCTACCTTTTCATTCCTGTATCTGCCTCTCCGCCTTCAAAAGATTAATTTACATGAGAATACCCACTATTTCAGCGGGCATCACCGCAGCAACTTGGTTAATCTGTACAACTGCTACTACCACTATATATGTATACACAGGTAGGCAGTACACTTATTGAGCTATCGTAAGCTGGTTTGGTAGTATTGAAGCAGTCTACGCTAGTCTCGATCTCGGCCGTTGCGGCACATCGATGTAAATACTGTAACCCAAAGAGGCACTTAGAAACAGCTGCATGGCGGTCGTTAAATGGCTGTTAGTTAAAGGTCTCGCTTGGAGCGGCCGCATTGCCAACGATGGCAGGATTGGCGTTGGTCTGCGGTTTGCTTTGCATAAGCGAACCATTCGACTCTCAAATGGAGCGGCTAGGACGCCGAGGTCCTAAGAATGAGCTTCGCTGTCTTTTGCTTTATCCCCGGCGTCGCGTGGTTGAGGAGAGACCTGCAGAATCGTTTTCCCTTATCTACTCGTATTCCTTAGCTGTGGCAAACAGCCCTGTTTGTCATGACCATTACTAATCAAGTTGCGGTACAGATCTTTCAGGGAGAGAAAGACGCCCCGCGCCCCCGCTGCAATGGTACCTGCTGTCAAGAGTCGTTGCAATACCGTTCGATTGCCTGTGTCTATCCTACCAATAGTTGGATGCGAGCGCGCAGATAAAACAGATCTAACTACGTTAACCTTAAAATCTTTGCTATAGTATACATTGCGACAATGCTGAATAATGTGTTAAATAGAAGACTGCCTGTCAGCAAACGTCCAGATCATGCTGTTTAACCATACTTCACTACGCCATCGGAAATTTGTAGCTAGATGAAGAGAACTTAGTGTTCCATCTACTATTTGCTCGTAACCGTGCCTGCCGTTTTACACTGCTATATACAGGGGATCGTCGCACTACCGGGTACACGTAAAAGCGGCGGCTACCTCAGGCAGCGAACTCTGATAAGTGTCAACCTCACTACATCCTTCCCGTATATACCATCTCCATCGGATAGCAGCAGTGATAAGTTGGTTGCCGGAATCGCAAACTTCACGTTTAGGATAGTACCCATTGCTTCTCACAAACAATTATATTCTATTTGCCTACAAAAGTCTACGTTGTCTACAGCAACGGTAGAGTAAGGTCAGAGGCCGAAAAAAAAGACCAAAAGATAGATGCAATTCAAAGCCCAGATTTGAGAATCAGTCAGGTATTGTGAAGATTATAGTTAGCAGCTTCGTGTCTTAGATCTGAGAACCTCAGATCCCATACCACGGTGTGCATGACCCGAGGCACAAACAAGAGGGCAGTACAAGTTTGAAAATGGAGTTGGGTACTTCTTGCAATTAATTGGTTTGTCCCTTCATCACTCTCGAACGGTTGTCCTAATCAAAGGACAGGACTAGGCCAAGCTGTCTAAGGAATGCGCTCTATTTTCGTGCAGACATTTGGTTCTTTCATCACTGAGGAGAAAATACTTAACGGGCATTTTATGCCGAAAATCACGTGAATCTGTACGCATGACATCAAATCTGCACCTGAGAAAAGCACTGGTGTAGGTCACTCAGCCTTGCAATGGAATTTTATCTATCTGTTGTTATTTTTTTGCGGTTTGTATTGCCGGCTTAACGGCTGAGTAGATTCTGCAAACATTTGCTTAATTATATGCTAAGCGTTACCTCACAATAGAGTAGACACCTGACTGCGTTCGTGAGCACTTCGTAGCTACCGATTACACTACATATACATATATTTGGGATGTTCCAAAAAACGTGGTAATACCGTAGATGGCTACTGGTTCGAATGGTAGGCCATTTTTTTATCAATAATATGATTCGTTCGCTCGTACAAACATATTAATGCAGGACTGGCCGCCTGTGAGACGATTTTGAAGTACGAATTTATGTTTAACCTGCACCCCAGGTTTGAATCCGTCGAACTGGCATAAATGGGACGTGGTTGGAACAGGAAACTTTAAGATAATAATACCTGCTCAATCACTGTCGTTGCTAAAGAAACGTTCAAAATATGGATATAAACACGTTCGCCAGAGAAGCGTCGTTGTAAATACATACAAAAGTGTCATCCAAGTGTCTGTTCTCGGAGGACGCAGTTTATCCACAAGGCTATTTCGAGTGTTTGGTATTTCAAATAACTATAACACTTGAAATGAATGCAAGAGTTCGTTAAATGAATTTTGTCTATTTTATATTACATGAGTATATACAGAGCTCCCACGGGAGGGGGAACAATCTGTTGAGCTTTCCTCACTGTTTTGCGAGGCATTTGTTAGAAAAGCGTTTGTAGGTGCATTTACAATAGTATTCTTATTTGGATTAACTTACCTCAACGTTGAGGTGTTTTTAAAACAAATACATAAGGTGACGTCTATTTCCATAGCTGATAGCGCCAATTAGGCATCTGTTGGCAACGGCCGATCGCAGAAGTTACCATAAGCTAGAAATTTCTAAATCCAGCAATGCGTATCATCGAAGATTTCAGTTTATCGAAAGCCCACAGAGCTTCCACGTGCATATAAGGTATGGCAAGCGCTTCGGTTAGAAAGTTGACCATGCGTAGGATTTAAGAAAAGTCCTTTTCTATACAAGCTGCGAATTGTTCAAGTGAGAGTTATTCTGTTACCAAATCTTTAAAGATTGAATGAATAGAAGGCGAACGTTTTGTTTCAGCGCCTTGTTCAGCTGTCATTGCTGATGCCTGACCGGCATATTGAACTAACTAGTGATCTTTTGCAAGTGAGTTGTATGCCGTGAACTGGGCAGTGTAAGGGGGGCTAGCGTACGCTGAACGCGCCGGAGCGGGTGGAGCGGCATATGCCGCGGGGATGGCAGCCGGAGCTGGGGCGGCGTAGGCGGCTGTGGCTGGAGCAGCGTAGGCGGCTGAGGCTGGAGCAGCATAAGCGGCTGAGGCTTGAGCAGTGTAGGCAGCTGAAGCTGGAGCAGCGTAGGCAGCTGAAGCTGGAGCACTGTAGGCGGCTGAAGCTGGAGCAGCGTAGGCGGCTGATGCTGGAGCAGCATATGCCGCTGGGGCTGGTGCATATGCTGCTGCTACCTGCTTCGGCGGGATGATATGCAGATGAAGACTTTGTGGAGGTCCGAAAACGTTTGCGGCAAACGCAGGAACTTTGTGGTCGGCATGAGCCGGAGCGTAGCCAGCAGCCGCGGGTGGTGCTGGTAGAGCATCAGAGAAGCCAACCAAAGTGGCAAACAGGACAAACAGACCAGCGCTGATTCGGATGCACATTTTGTATAGGTTATCTGTTCGTGTTGTCGTGAGCTTCACGATACAACAGCGAGTCGTCTCTATATTGTAGGACTTCTTTGTAAAACGCAACCAAGGTTCGATGGTGATCAATGATAAAACGCTCGTTGATGCCGAAATAGCTCGGTATCGCTGCTAGAGCCGACCTGACTGCCGACTTTGTGTTGGAGAGGTCGAGCCTTTATAGCGGCCACGGGACCACCCTCTTCCCCTTTAGCTCGTCGGCATCGCATCAGTCGTAGCAATACCCGTCGTTCTGGGGTGGCTGGCGTCAGCCGCTACTCCACTACCAACCAATCCCGTAATTCAGTTAGTCTTGTTACTGTTACTACCAGTCGGGGGTACACCGCTGTGCATTTGTACGGGAATGTTCTGTATTGTTATGTTGACGCTGAAGCAGGTCTTTTTTCGGATCAACAGCGATCCCTCATAAGACATCGCTAATTGTCTTGTGTTACCGGTGGTTGTTGTAGCAGAAAAAACAACGATTCCAACCCGGTAGATAGAAGCTGAAACAGCATAAAATCCGGGCATGAAATATAGAAATGGAACAAACAGATTCGCATTAGGAAGATGCATGTGAAATGCTCGATGCAATTCATTAACTTAATAATATGTACATGAAAGTTAAAGTGTTACAGCAGTGGTTAGTAGTAGTAGTATTGGACTTAACAACTCGTTATTCGATTTACGTTCGATTTTTCAGTCTGCACGAGGTGAAATGGATGATCATTTAACGAATGAGGAAGCCTCGCTTGAATATAAACTTGGTAATAAACTGCTCATATTTTCAGGATCGTTCGTCGCAATGTACCAGCAACTAAACGTAAACTTACTTTTTTAGGTTGCGAAAGTGTGACACTTATAACGCAGCCGCTTACAGTGATATCCAGCATAAATGTCTCATTGTTCTACGAGACAGTTTTACATACAACATTATTCAGCGCGAGAATATTTCTTTGTGCTACAGAGCTTTACTGCATCTCTAATTTAGTGATAAAAATTTGTTCGTTACCCTATGCGCGTGGTAGTTAAAGGTCGCCAGTGCCTCTAAGTACACAGTTTCATCGATAAGTGTTATAAAGGCGTTTCGTATATTTTATTTGAACCACGTTTGTGGGACTCCTTGCCATGACGAGTGGCCGTGCATCCACAATCTATTGCCAGTCTTTGACAATAGAGAAAGCTAGTTCTTTCCGAGGCGAAACCTAACGCGTCGTTTTCGCAGTTCGAGCGAAGATCAGCTACTATGTAACTCTCATCACCAGGACTAAAAATTTTTTAACATATGAAGTTAACGGTCCACGGTACTGCCAGTTTTCATGCGGCTGCTGAAAAATTCACTTTAAATGAGGCAAACCTGGATATCTCCAATAGAGTTTATATTTAAATGATTCGAAAAGCCGTTTCTATTGCACCAGAAGTTTTCACATAGAAACTAACAGCCGTTTGGAAGACGCAGAGTAACGATTCCCTAACGGATCGTCTAGAAAAACTCCAATGACTAGCCTTTTTAAAACTTCCTGTACTCCTTTAGGCATTTTGGTCCTTTTTGAGCCCTTATACCCTTATATATATACTTCGAAGCTTTTATTGGGCCGATGAAGTACTTGTGTAGGGTAAAATTTTTAGATATGTGCGTTTATCGCACTTTCTAGTATACATATGACACTGCATATATTTTCCAGCATGTTTATTTCAACTGCCTCTACAACTACAGGTCATTTATATTCAGTTGGATACGTGTTAGTTTCTAGTCAGCTGTGGAGCAGTGTACTACGCCCCGACAAAGAGTTAATTGTTAGGCATATGCTCTTTTGGCATGGTCAAGCCAGCGAAACGCTTCACCCTGTCATTGAATTGTTATGTAATTTTATAAACAACGAACACTATACCTACCAGCAGTTCCCACTGACGAAAGCGCCGATTTGGACACCCTGCGTGCAAGACCGTTATGGGACGACAATTGCTCGTTAACAAAAAAATGATAGCAGTCACTAAAAAAAATCTAACGGAACACAAATCGACCAGAACCTAACGTATATTCAATAGTAGCCCGAATCTGAATAGAAACAGGTGTTCTGTTAGCTTTTATCGTCTATATACATAAAAATATTTAGGTAACTTTAACATCAGAACCTGTAAGTCTTTGAAGAATACGATTGGCCCTTAATTGTGCAATATATATATATAATAACAAAATCCAGTCGGTCTAAGAATTGCCTTCATTTAATATCTAAGACTTTAGCCACTTTATCAATAAACTCCATATACATGTGGAACATGTGCAAACGAATCTTTGAAAAGGAAAAATAACAAAACAATTTTATGTCATAGAGAATATCATGAGTTGCACGTCTGAAACATTGGGCAGCAACATTGGGTTGCAATAGCTGCAACTAAGGACAGATGAAAATACTGTAATAAATAATGTAAATAAAAATAAAATCATTGTGCTTGTGCCTTTTTGCTCTCTAAAAGAATTAAAATTAGGCCAATTTAAAAATAGTTAATCATCTGACTCTAAATACCCATTTCCTAAAATATAAGTAGAAATAAGGAGAAAGTTCTAAAGCCATAAACAACACCCAGTTGTGGAACACGCCCAGATGTGCTTTAGGTAAAGCTCACAAATCATAAGACATGTAAAGTAATAATAGTTTGGACTAGGGCTGAGTATCGACATCTCGTATAGACGTGATGCGTGCTGAACCATTGTTAATACGGCAATGAAATTTACATTGATCGGAAGTACCCGATCAGCTGATATAAAGAGGTCAAGTACTTTGAAGTACTCAGCGAGTTTTGGTTGGAAAACGAAAGCAAGACCTTTCAATTGCTAGTGCCGTTCCGTCACTAAAATCTGTTAAGTCAACAGATATCTCTACGACTAGTATCAGCTAGGAAAGAACGGTTTACGCAGTGTGATATGGCCAAATTGTATCAGAGCCTTAACCAAAATTCATCTCTACTATGGAACCAATCTTTGTATGTGTTCAAATTATATTTGTAACGCTATGTGCCGCAGAGTTTGCGATGCAAGGAGAAATATAATATTGGTCTCTATTTAAGTAACGCTTGCGGCGCCTCTGCAGTGTAAATAAAAGATTGGCCAAACTAGTTTTAATCGGTTTATTGCTTATCGATACGAATAACGCATCAAAATGCATACCTTTGGCTCTTATCGAATATTTTTCCCCAACTACGATGATGCTATCCGTAAACGTTTTGACAGTTAGATGTGACGTACGTTACTCTAAAAAGTTCAAAATAAGGCTGTTCCATCTAACTTCCATTTCGTCTATCCTTTTCGTTCAGCCATCGGTCTTCTTGAAAGGTCGAGAACTACTACAGTCTGATCTGTGATGTCCGTTGTTCTTGCAGTCAATAAGGCGGCATAGCCACCCTTGACACCGCAACACCGTTGTCTCCTTGACACCACTACATCGACCAGCATCAAGATTTGTGCAAGTCAAACTAACTGAGTCGAACGATGACTATCAATATCGTCCGAGAAAAAGCTGAATAATTTGATTGTGACTATAAAAAAAAAAAACATTTATATGTGACAACTTTGTTGCTTCCTCTAAAAATTAGGTACAATAAAGGTCACCGTTTCCCTTATAAGTTTCATTGCGGCAGATTTAAGTGTTGCAGATATATTATAATGCTAGGAAACAATGTGGTACTCGAGTCCAGTAGTCAATCTATGATAAAACACTTGCTGTATGTTTACAAAATACAGTTTATTTAATCATTTGAATAGCGTAGGTATTCGTAAGGGTCCGCGTTTCCTCGAAATAACAACAAACCATTTATAGAAGGAAGGTTTAAATAAGACTGATTATTCCCCTTTTCGAAAAACCGTTATAATTTATAGGTTTATAATTAATATACAGTAATAGATGGCTTTAGCTTAGCTCTATGAACCTTTGGTAGCGGTAGTCTACTAAAGATGTCCTCTGCATATTAGGTAAAACTATTTTTCATCATTTGGAGAAGTTTCAGCGCTAAAAAGTGCTGTCTCCTAGGACAGTTATGACAGCTTTAGCGACGTATAATGATTGAACATTGCAAAGCAGATCGGTCCACTATTATAATAATCTGTCGGAATTAGGATGGCTTAACAAAAATGATTCGATTACCAGAAAGTATTAAAGAGTGGTGGTATCACTGTGTCGTAATTGGTTAAATTTTTCTAACTTTTTTTTTGGCTATATTTAAATTTGGATTTGTGCAGGGGATCTCAAATCAAGCGGCCGAGCTCTACTTACTTTAGTTTGTGTCACATCAATATGCACGCTTACTCAGTACCTTGAAGATAGGAAAACATTTCATGAAAAGCTATATAGAAGACTTCTTCCGACAGCTTTCCTTCCGGTCGACATTTCGACGTCGACGATAAATTATAAGGTTATATGGATCACGCTGCGTTTAGTGCGAAGCGTTTTTTTTGTATATGTATTTTTACCAAGTATAGTCTTATGCAACTAATGCAGTCGTATTCTGCATTGTAGAATTCTGCTCAGGGTTCTCTATTGTAGAAAGTTGCTCAGGTCAAATAAGGTAACTCATGCGAACCTTATCTGTTTCTCGTCTGGCCCTTCCGTGCCGTCCGCGTACGTGTAGAAATGCATGATATGCTATTACTTCTGCAACGTTTACATAATTTCAACAAGTACAATAACGCAAAGTACTACACGCTGACATTTCCGGTGTATGTTGAAGCGGGAACGTCTCTAGAAATTTCGATCGATTAAACTTCAAATCATTGATGTGCCTCTATCTAGGCATGATTCATTAGCTTTCACCTTACGGATCGTAGTAATCGCGCGAAACATATCCATCACAAAGTCATTTAGCAAACAAATTTTGCATTTTTCTTTACTTAGTAAGCGTTTATGAAGCGAGTGAATATTGCTTTATTCAGAAAGTGCGTCAATTTACAACAACACAGATGTCCATTTTTACGAGCCTTCTGTCGACCATCGTCAAAAGGCCTACAGAATTTATTAGCTACAGAAAAATCTACAGCAGTTTTATTTCTTTGACCAATCGGCTAAAGCATTTGGTGATTTTTTTTCTTTTTCGACAGAAACTCTTACGTATTGATGACAGGGTTGATATCTGCAGTGTGGAATGAGCATTTCAACAAAACCTTGCGGTAGTTAGCGCCATTACTATCTCATTAGTTATAGCGAAGTTTGAGGCAAATTGAATTTCTAAGTTGCAGGTGTATAAGCTGTAACGGCAGGATTACTTCCTGGCAGACATCGCGTCAGCTTTAAATCCAATTGGGTATCCTATAGTCAGCGGACCTTGTTAAGCACTCGTTTGTTATAAGATTTCAAAATAAAGAAACTTTTCGAATCAAATATGTCCATAGTTGCATGAGATGAAGTCAGCTAATAAGTAATGCCTAATAGGTTGAATAATAAACGAAAAGAAGTGCAAGCATCATACTCGTATTTAATCGAAATATAATTTATGGCCGTGCTTTTCCAGAAGGCTTAAATAACTAGCAGGGAGTTTAGCATGTAAATAAAGTAACGATAAATTAAAGAACAGGCTTTCTAATTTCTAGCTTGGTTCTAAATTACACTGGATCATTCATTACGTCAGTTATCGGCTGTCGCTGCTGTGAAATCAGTTTTCGTTCGATTTGGATCACCAGGCAAGATAAATATCGCTTTTTTTTTTTAATAAAGCATCATAATTTATTCATGTATTTTACGCAATTCTTGCATACATTGTCTATACAAGAAGTTGAGTATTTTTCTTAACTTATCATTTATACTCAACTTTTTTTTTTTATTCACAGCAACATGTTCGGTCGTATGATATTGCCGTGACACAATTGTGACTTCGTTTGAGTTTATATTCTCCATTTGTTAATTAATCACAAAGATTTCCTTTAGTATGTATAATCGTATACAGCAATTCTATGGTAATAACTATCTCTAGCTGGGTTAGGTGTTATATATAAGGGAAGACTTCGTGATTAATTAAAAAACGGTTCAAAAAAAGGTCGTAGTGATTCTCAAATACGACAAGCGGCTGACCTTACCTTGAAATTTCTAAACCAAGACCTGTGGTTGCGAGTAAATACTTTCCTAAATTTGAAAATGTCGTATAATTCTTGGGATAAGCTGAAAGCTACTAACACCATCCACGGCTACCAGTGGGTTCGTCATATATCATTGATTTTTTTAGACAGAGGCTGAAATCTTTATGTCTATTACCGTTCTCGTTAGGCAGCATTTACATATATAGTTCTCTACGTATCCATGCGCTGTCGAAAATCCCAAAAACGAGGATCGATTCAGGGAACCGCCGCCTCGTCGTTCGTGCAGTCTTTGCTATATCAACATATGCTCGTGTAGGTGAAGAGTCTCCCGGATCATAGATGGATGTATGGAACGCCTAGTAAGGTCTTTGGGCATATGTACCTACATAGCAGCGTTACGTTCCTCGGCCAGTCGCTGACGTGTGCTGCTTCAATAGTTGCTTGACGACCTTTAGTATAAAAACACAATTTCCGTCTTTTCAAATTCGCTGTTTTTAAGCAACGTGATAAATTTGATGATGTCTGCTCTCCAAGCAGTCGCCGTTCGCGGGCAGCAGTACGGTCGTACGCTCCTCTACAATACACCTCTTACAAACCTGGCTCGTAGCAGAGTTTCTTTCCATCTTATGTCCTCATGGGCGGAATAGATTTTTGCATCGCACTAAAACTGGTCTAAGCCGGCACCGCCATTGAATTGATACCTGGCAGAACGTGCGAGTTTCCAAGGCCTTCAACATCCTTGGCGGCGTCGTCGTGCGACGACTTGTACGTGTATGATGAGGAAACGTAGATAATTGTGCAAAAAAGTTCATACTCGCTAGCATGATCGCTCGAAAATGTAAGACATTCTTGTGCGCTAGATGTATGCGGCAATGACCGTCCTGTTGACGCAATCTAACCTTCTTAAAAAAGTGAGCCACATGCATGTCAATTTCTATTCTGCACAGCAAAAACCTAAAAGTAACCCCACAGACATAATGGGTCGTTATCTAGCAGTCGTTATTACGATTACTGTTACTTGTCAATATCAATGGAATACGGCCGTAGTTGAGTGGCCAGAGTAACGACCTGCCGCACCGATAAGTGGCCAGCTTCGGTTCTCGTTTCGATGTTTATTAATTTCTCATAGTGTATCTTTGCTTTGGACGACGGCCGTAACCTTATTTGTCGTGACATAATTGAAGGCACTGACCATTCTGGTGAATCTGGCTCTGTTTCTCATGTTGCCAAGGGCATATTAAAAGACTGATCCCGCAACGATCATTGCTCCTTTATGACGCTTTTAATGACGTCGATTAGGTTACAATGGCTTGTCATATACCTGCCTAATAAAATAGTACACCTTTTTTTTTCTGGAAGAGAGCATACCACCGTTAAATGTTAATTGCCTTCAAAATTTAAGTCAGTACTGGAATTAGGTGGTCCATTCGAGGTAATGGCTTGATTAAAAAGTTACACCCAAATACGCAGAAAATGATCTGAATGAATCGCATCTGATCAGTACCAAGGACTATCCGAACAATGTGACACGTTATTATTATCGTTACTATTACTCAATAGTGTAATTTCTATCGAATTATTGACAGCCATGTGTAAAGTATGTCGGGCTAATCTGGTAAAATTATCTCGAATCTATAAAATATATACATAGGCGACTATGTAGTATGAAGAATCAATTTTGAACGTGAAAGCTAATGGAAGACAGATTTACGAAGAACAGCTATCTGTTACTGCAGGCGCTTCACGATCACGATAATCGTGTCGATCATTTTATTAAGTGATAATTTTTGAGCTGTACACCTATTGTAGCTGGGTGGTGGAAAGAAGACGGTATTGAAATGCGTTTTCATGTGGCCAACTACGCATTAAGTAGCAATGTACTGCCGTTCGTTGCTAGATTTCGAAATTTAGGTACTATCATAGAAACCTGATTTTACATACCGGTATATTATCGTTATATACCTAAGAGACAATAGTTTTCATCTTAAACATTCAAGTATATCTTGCTTGTGCTGCTCAATCTGTGGCACTGTGCATTTTTATGTGCCCAGGCAAAAATTTGTCTTTAACAGCCATTAGATTGAGAACTGCGCAGTAACTTGCGCAAAAGTGACATGGCTAGAGAGGTAAGCGATCTGAAAACTATAATTCCAAATTCACTCAGTCGGGCCTAGAAGTCGCAAATACAGAGCAAGCCACTCCCTTATTTTCATAACAGGCGTCTTGATATTTTAGACAATAATGCTATACCCTCGGTAATGGCAACTGAAGTTAATTCCTCTAAATATTTGGCCGTATCGAACGGTAAACTTATCAGTTACTTTTTCCTACTGAAAACCTCTACGAACGCTATAATCTGGTCG